AGCCGCATGTATATAAATACACCTGGGGTGGGAACCGAAGAAGTAACCTTCTTCTCAACATTCCCACTTCAGGTAAGTAGCATAGTTCCCCTTTTAATAATAACTCAACATTCCCACTTCAGTCTAAGTGGCCAGGGATCGCCGTCCCATATCGGGGCTGCCAGTACGCACGCCCGATCCACCCCCCGTGAGGTCCTCAGGACCGGACGCTACGCCCGGACCGCCTTGACCCCGGACGCGACCCTGACACTCGACCTCTGCCATGCGTACCATTTGGTGCGGATAGCAGCGGGCGATGAGTGGAAGACTTCCTTCCGCATGCACTACGGATCCTACAAGTGGCTCGTTATGCCATTCGGTTTGACCAACGCACCCACAGCCTTTCAACGCTTTGTTAATACCATCTTTGCTGATCTTCTCGACACTCACGTGGTAGTCTACTTGGACGACATCCTGGTCTATTCGGAAGATGAGACTCAGCATGAGGATCACGTCCGGGAAGTCCTGAGTAGGCTATGCAAGCATGGGTTATTTGCCAATCCGCAGAAGTGTGAATTCTCAACTGACACTACGGAGTATTTGGGCTACATCCTTTCGCCGACTGGTTTGTCCATGTCGCCCGAAAAGATTCAATCCATTCAGGATTGGCCCGAGCCTCGTAAGGTCAAGGACATCCAGTCCTTCTTGGGATTTGCAAACTTCTATCGCTGTTTCATCCATGATTATTCCAGTATAGTTCTTCTGCTGACCAGACTCACCCGTAAAAATGTGGCTTGGTCCTTCTCTGATGAGTGTCGTTCCGCCTTCCTTCGTCTCAAAGAAGCTTTCACATCCGCCCCCATCCTTACTCACTGGGTACCCGATCGTCTGCTAATAGTTGAAACTGACACGTCCGACTATGCAATCTCAGGTATTCTCTCCATCCGTTGTGAGGATGATGAGATTCGCCCGGTTGCTTTTCGCTCGAGAATGCTGACAGCGCCTGAACTCAACTATGATACCCATGATAAGGAGCTCCTAGCTATCTTTGAAGCTTTCCGCTCATGGCGACACTATCTTGAAGGCTCTGGCACTCCTATTGACGTTGTCACGGATCACAAGAACTTGGAATATTTCACCACTACCAAACTCTTGACCCGCAGGCAGGCACGCTGGTCAGAGTTTCTCTCGCAGTTTAACATGGTTGTCCGTTTTCGTCCGGGAAGACTTGGTGCGAAACCTGATGCGTTGACTAGACGCTGGGACGTCTACCCCAAAGAAGGGGATAGGGACTACACCCACGTTAATCTGCAGAATTTTTGCCCTGTCTTTACCACAGAACAGCTCTCGGCCTCCCTACGAGCCACCTGTTTAGCCACCCCGGTCCTCCGGGCCAGCTCTATGGTTGACATCAAAGCTATCCACAAGGACATTCTCACTGCCCTGCCATCCGACCCCTCCATTGCCGAATATCTCTCTGATCCTATCCCTGCAGACTCTCGTTGGTCCCTAGACACAGACGGCCTGTTAAGGCTCGATAAGCGTATCTACATACCGGACGCAAACGATCTTCGTCTCAGGATCTTGAGATACAAGCACGACCATCCACTCTCCGGACACTTTGGTCAGAACCGCACATTGGATCTGGTCCGTCGAGAGTATACTTGGCCGGGTATCCGTTCATTCGTCAAGGACTATGTTTCGTCCTGTACTGCCTGCGCCCGTGCCAAGGTCCCTCGTCACAAGCCCTATGGCTTGCTGAAACAACTCCCTGTCCCCGGTCGCCCGTGGAACTCGATATCCATGGACTTCATCGAACAGCTTCCCCCGTCCTCTGGCTTCATGGCCATCCTGGTAGTCATTGACCGTCTTTCTAAGCAGTGTGTCTTTATTCCTACACACGATACCATTGATGCACCCGGCCTCGCTAAGCTGTTCCTCCTCCATGTATTCTCGAAACACGGCATACCCTCCCACATCACTTCGGATCGAGGATCCGAGTTCGTATCCCATTTCTTCCGCTCTCTAGGTAAGGCTCTTGACATCTGCCTTCACTTCACTTCGGGTTATCACCCAGAAGGGGATGGTCAGACCGAGCAGATGAACCAGACGTTAGAACAGTATCTTTGGGTGTATTGCAACTACCAGCAGGACAACTGGGCTGAGTTATTGCCCTTGGCTGAGTTCGTGTACAACAATGCCCCTAATGCTACTACTGGCGTCTCTCCGTTCTTTGCCAACAAGGGATACCATCCGACCCTCTCCGTCCATCCGGAACGAGATTTGACTTCAGTACGTGCCCAAGAGTACTCGGTTGATCTCGATTCCTTACATCAGTTCCTATGTGAGGAAATGTCCTCAGTGCAACGGCGTTATCAGGGCCCTGTGGATGCTAGACGTTCACCTGCACCCGACTTTGAGGTTGGTACTATGGTCTTTGTTAAGGCTAAGTATTTTAGATCCACCCGACCCTCGAAGAAACTCTCAGAAAAGAACCTCGGGCCCTTTGAGATCATCGCCACACCAGGAACCCACTCCCGCACCATCCGCCTTCCTGAGACTATGAGAGCCGTGCACCTGGTCTTTCATGTGTCCCAACTTGAACTGGCCGTCCCCAACACCATCCCCAACCACATACAACCTCCGCCTCCACCCGTTGAGATTGACGGTGAACCTGAGTATGAGATTGCTGAAATACTAGATTCAAAGTTGGATCGTAGGCATCGTAACTGTAAGTTACTGTACCTGGTACATTGGCTCGGGTATGATGGGACGGATGAGGAGACTTCTTGGTTGCCGGCCACGGAGCTTGGCCATGCCTCTGACTTGGTTTCTAACTTCCACGCGCTTTATCCTGACAAGCCGGGCCCTCACTTTTCTTAGAGTGCTCACGCATCAACTGGCCATGTTTTGACTAGGGTATGGCATGATGGAGGTATATACAAAAATGAAAAAAAGAGAACTTCAGGGCGACGCGCCCACACCACGGGAAGTATACGTGGGCGGGTCACCTGCTCCCCCACCCTCCGACTTCTCCTTCTTCTTCCTCGACCTCTCCTCCCGCGTAATCTTGGCGACCTCGCTGGGCAACTGCCTCACAGCGTCAGTCAGCTCCTTGAGGGCGTCCACGATCGCCTCACCCCACTTCTCCACGTCACCCCCATCCTCGTCCCAATTGTCCTCCTTGTCCTCCGTATCATCTTCCCCATCCTCAGACGTGTGTACTGGCGCCTTGGGTGAGATCACCTGCGGTTTCTTTTGCTGTGAGGGCGTCGCGGTCCCCACTCGAATCGTGACCAGGTCGCATTTGGCCCTGGCACGTGTGCAGTTCGTGCACGCCTGGTACCTGCCCTGCTCGCAAACCAGCTGGGACTTGAGGCATCGACCACAGGGGGGCTTTTCCCTAGCGGCCTGTGGCAGGTCGACTGAGGCCTTGCGCTAAAACAAAAACAAAAAATATACTTGCGTTAGCCTCAGGGATCGCGTGGCAGTAAGTGTTTGTAAGATACTGGCTACTCACCTTGCCTTTGGACGACCCAGCCGCCTGCGCCTGTTGGCGCTTCGCCTCTGCCTCCCGCTCCCTGGCCTCCTCTTCCTCACGTCTTTTCTTCTCTTCAGCCGCCCGCCTAGCTGCCTCGGCCGCTTTTTTGACCGCCTTGCACCTCACCCGCTCATTCAGCTTCGCCTGCATCATGGCAGGCTCGTTGTCCGTCACCTCCTGGATGTCCTTCTCCTCCCAGGACATGATGTCGTGAAGATCGAGAGTTTTGGACATGAAGGGCGGGTTATTGAGTAGAGCTGTTGAGTAATGACTGGACTTAGTCAAATTGATGGAGCGAATGTTTGATTTCACACGCGGATTCAAATTCGGAATTGGCCGAACGATTCCCACGTGCACCAATTGGGCCTCCAGGGGCGTCGGCCCTAAGAAGGGGATACTGTCACGACCCGACATATCCGACACTTCCCTCTACGCGTCCTAGTGCCACTTGGCCCGTCCCTCCCGCTATCATCATCATCCATCCACCCGTCACCCTCATCCGCACTTCCTCCCTCGCACGCGTACCTTCCAACCTAGGTTGCCCACTTCATTGTTGTCCGCCCCCAGCCAGACGGCTTGCTAGACGGCCAGATGGCCTTTTCTCTTTTGTCCGCTTGCGGACTATTGTTCTTCCTATTGTTCCTTGCTTGCCTTTTGTTGACCAAGTTTGCCGATATTGATTATTTGTTCCTTTCTTCATTCATTAATATCGCGCTTGATCCACCACTCCTTCCGGGCCGCTCTCATTTAGTTACTTGTGTTTATAACGTGTGTAGGTTACACCGGATGTACCTTAGTTCGTATATCGACTTGGATTCCCCCTCTAACTCTTATCCTCATCGTAAGGCTTCTGTCTGAAATTGGGACACCAACGTAAGAACGAAGCGCAGCGCTCCACCCGAGTTGCTGAAGCTAAAAGTCCTGCCCCTCCGACCTTACGAGCCCGGACGACTTCGCGTGCCTTGCGGGTCACCTGGATACGCTTCTGGCACGTTCCTGACATCTCCGGACTACCTCCGCTCCTTCACTAACCTCAGAGCTCCCATATTCCGCAATCACCTCTGCTTCCCTCGATGGTCACCACCCCCTCTTTTCAATATATTACTTATGCTTCTCTAAGTACGGAGCCCCGAAGGCTTCCAGACAGCTCCGATGTCCGCTAGCGCACTCCCACCTCCGCTGGGCAATACACTTGCTTGCCCTGCAAGCCCACCTTCGGGCTGATCTGTCAGGGACGTGTCCGGGGTGGAGGGGGCCCGGCTGTAGCGCCCGGCAGAGGGACCCTCTTGGGGGACGAAGCGGGCCTGCGTACTGATGGGCCCGATCTGGGACTGTAGTCCCTGGCCACTTAGACTGAAGTGGAAAACGTGAATTGTTATTAAAAGGAAGAACTACACTACTTACCTGAAGTGGAAAACGTGAGAAGAAGGTTACTTTCTCAGTTCCCACTTCAGGTACATTTATGTACATGCGGCTTGGGTCACATGACAGGTGCCACGTCATCTACGGAGAGGGCTGCAGCCATCCAGGTATCCCCATGGGGGATCCCGAGGGCGTCCGCTGCAGGTGCGCATGCTGGGCATAGTGGGAAGTTGTCCGGGGTGTCTGAGCCGGACGGGTCAACAGTACAATGATACAAGGAAAGGTGGTCCATGTAAATAGAAAGAATAAACAGAAAGGGAGAGTGAAATAAAGGAGAAAGAGGAAAGAGGGAAGAGGGGGAAGAGGGAGGAAGGGAAGAGGGAGGAAGGGGAAGAGGGAGGAAGGGGAAGAGGGAGGAAGGGGAAGAGGGAGGAAGGGGAAGAGGGAGGAAGGGGAAGAGGGAGGAAGGGGAAGAGGGAGGAAGGGGAAGAGGGAGGAAGGGGAAGAGGGAGGAAGGGGAAGAGGGAGGAAGGGGAAGAGGGAGGAAGGGGAAGAGGGAGGAAGGGGAAGAGGGAGGAAGGGGAAGAGGGAGGAAGGGGAAGAGGGAGGAAGGGGAAGAGGGAGGAAGGGGAAGAGGGAGGAAGGGGAAGAGGGAGGAAGGGGAAGAGGGAGGAAGGGGAAGAGGGAGGAAGGGGAAGAGGGAGGAAGGGGAAGAGGGAGGAAGGGGAAGAGGGAGGAAGGGGAAGAGGGAGGAAGGGGAAGAGGGAGGAAGGGGAAGAGGGAGGAAGGGGAAGAGGGAGGAAGGGGAAGAGGGAGGAAGGGGAAGAGGGAGGAAGGGGAAGAGGGAGGAAGGGGAAGAGGGAGGAAGGGGAAGAGGGAGGAAGGGGAAGAGGGAGGAAGGATGGGTAGCGGGGAGCGGGTGAGCGGGTGAGTGGGTGAGGTGGGCCCAGGTGGGCCTGGGTGGAACTGGGTCAGGCGGGTGTGCCCTGACACGATCCCTCCTTTCTGTTTCCGGGTTATCGCCTACCATTCCACTAACCCCATAACCTGACTTGTCAGTAATATTCAATCAGCTAATGTTTAACCCTGTTAGCTCCGCTCTGCTCGGCCCCGTCATTTATGGGCCTGCCCCTGCAGTAACTATATATACTTGACTTGTACATAGGTTACATGTTAGACACTGGTCTGGGGTCGGCACAGAGGGTCGCCGTTGTGGGCCACTATAGGCCACAATGGCTGTGATGCTGTGAACAAGGCCCGGGGTAGGGCATTTGGCCTCAGCAACTCTAAAGGGAGTGCTGTGCCCCCTAGCTGTCTCTTGGCCCTCATTTCGGACTCACTGGGGTTGCCTTGTTGGGGTCAGGACTTAGGGGTCATGGTCACATCGATATTAGAGCTAGGGTACAATAAAGTATCATACAGGATATATATATGAAGGCAGAATGAATTGAAGCGGACCCGGGCCGAAGGCCGAGGGGTCCGGAAGCAAACATGAATAAGGAGCGGGGTTGGCTGCATAGCGGCCGGCAATGACCGAGGGTCAAAACAAACAATAACAGATAAATAAAGGAGGGCTGCAATAGCGGCGATGGTATCATAGCGGCGCTGGACTCGGAGTTGGGCCAGAGTCGGGTGTGGGAATGGTAGTGGCCCTGTAGGGGCCAAGTGGGCGGGGTAGAGGAGTCGCGCTGGGCACGGTGCCAGAGGCGGACTCGGGGTGGGAAGGTTGGTGTGGCTGTGGGGGAGTCGGCCAGGTGCAGGGGAGCCTAGGGGCAAGCAGGGGAGTGAGCAGGGAGTCCTCAGGGAGGATAGGGCTGAGGTTGGGGCTCGCACTCACACTCACATAGTGGGAACGGGCCGGAATGCACAGCCATGACATTACACCTCAGTAATAAAATCGACTAGAGTTGACCCCTTTTAGTTCTCGTTGCCAGTAAGTAAATTAGGGCACGGATGTGTAACTTGGCACAGCGCTCCTGGCATAAGTCGCTGAGGCCAAAGCCCTCTGCCACGGAGACATTCCTTCATCTCGATCTGGTCTCTGACATTATCATGGTTTCAACTGTATTTAGCTCGCTACACTGGTAGCGAGGTACTGTTGATGATTGCCTTGACTACGTAATGAATTTGGTTTTGGTACCTGACAACTCAGTTGCGATTCGACTCCAGCATGGGCAGGAGATTATTCAGAAAGTACCACTGCCAACTGTGCGAAATTTCGAGTATCGACATCATCCTAGATTGAAGTAGAACCACTGGCATTGTTTATGTGTATGGCAAAGCACCCCTCATTGCACCAAGGTGCAGGAGGGTCTTCAGAGGCTCACTGGGGAGACCTTCCAGTAGTCAAGGAAACACTGAGCATGCTACATAAGAAAGAAAAAACAAGATTAGCTACAGTTGCTACACCAACCAGGTGACCTAAACAATGCAAGCCACAGAAGTGATGAATCATGGTGGGATGTGCCACATGCCTGCCCAGGGACCTAGCCCCAGTGCAGCCCATTCCCATCCTTGCCACTTCACAGTGTCCCCATTCTACTTGCTGGCACCAAGAGGAATCACGGAAGCTCAGGGGCATCTGGAGATGAGAGGCCGATGAAAAAAGACTCTCGCATGACCAGAATCTCAGAGGAAGACCCCTTCCAGGAGGTGGCAGACCAAAGAGGAGGCCCGGACAAACCACAAGTAATTAGGGGTGCCAAAGTTCATGGCGAACCGGTTTGAACCATGGATGAAAACCAAACCAGCATGTGCCTGAACCACGGTTTGTTGGAAAATCCTGTATATCATTTAAATGCCCGGGAAACATTTCATGGCGTTTTTTTTGCAACAACTACCCAACAGCCAATGAGAATACATTGGTCAGATGTGGTGGTACTTTATGTGTTATATGAGACGGATTTTTGACGATTTTGATGCTGTAGGAAGCATTTATGACACATTTATTAAGTTATTAAAAACATATTCAGAGTGTTTGAGGGGTATAAAAATGCATTCAATAATATCAAAAAATGCCATAAACAATTTATCACAATGTTTAGATGCCAAATTTCATGTTTAAATGTCAAGTCTCGTGTTTTTGATCGATCTCGCGATTTTCCAACATTTGGTTCATCTCCAGTTCCGGAATGATTCAGTTCAGGTTCTCCATAATGTTGAGAGTCTGTGAACCAGGTTCAGACTGAACTGAACTGCTGAACCACCAAACCAACCACTGAACTGCTGAACCGCCAAATGGCTGGGCCTCTTGAACTGGTGAGCCGCTGAACCATTCATAAATCAGGTGATGGTATGTCAAGTAATGCACTTCTGGTTGCCAAGTCCACACCCTGACTCACACCAATAAGTATTTGGTTCAGAAAATGTACCGCTATCCCATGCACCTGTCTACTATCAATCAAAAATGTTATATTGTTCTACCAGCTGAGTGGCCTTGGGTGTACAAGTGTGTAACAAAGAAAAATGGGGATGTCTGAGAAAATAAATGAACCGACTATTTACTCAAATAAAGTTTGCCATTTGAATGTACTCTGGATTTCCCCTTAGTCTCTATTGGAGATGTCCCCCCTCTTGTGATGACAGCAATGCTGGATGGCAGACTGACCCAGACAATCCCATGCTTGGTCCTGATGGTCAACTACATGATGCTGCTGAACGGCTGTCATATCCATACAACTCCAGACCTCCACTCCTGATTCTGGACCTCCATCTCCTCCTCCATGTCAGGGACTGACCTGGGGTCGAGAGCGTCTGGGTATATTGCCCGGGGCTGAGGGCCCGGTAGGGTGTGACGCAGGCGTGCATAACAACGGGCCCGAAGCAGACAAGGGTCCCTGGCCACTTAGGCTAAAGTGGGAAGTGTGAGAAGAAGGTTGCTTCTCAGTTCTGTCAGGAACATGCCAGACGCGTATCTGGGTGACCTGCAAGGTGCACAAAGTCATCCGGACTCGTAAGGTCGGAGGGGTGGGACTTTAGCTTCAGCGACTCGGGTGGAGCGCTGCACTTCGTTCTTACATTGGTGTCCCAATTTCAGACAGGAGCCTTACGATGAAGAGAGGAGTCTAGAGGGGAATCCAAGTCGATATACGAACTGAGGTACATCCGGTGTAACCTACACACGTTATAAACACAAGTAACTAAATAAGACCGGCCCGGAAGGAGTGGCAGATCAAGTGCGATATTAATGAATGAAGAAAGAAACAAATAGTTAATATCGGCAAACTTGGTCAACAAAAGGTAAGCAAGGAACAAAAGGAGGAACAATAGTCCGCAAGCAGACAAAAGAGAAAAGGCCATCCGGCCGTCTAGCAAGCCGTCCAGCTGGCAAGCGGACAACAATGAAGCAGGCAACCTAGGTTGGAAGGTATGTGCATGAGGGAGGAAGTGCAGATGAGGGTGACAGGTGGATGGATGGGTGGACGGTGTCACGACCCGGCAATCCCCACGGTCAGGTGATCACTCCCCACACCTTCTCCCTCCTCCGCTTTGACCCCTGTCAACTCCGCTGCCTGCCCGATGCCGCCTGAACAAGCCCGTCACCCTTCCCCATCACTGCTACCTGTTTCCACAGCCCATCATGGGCCTATGAGTCATTCCTTATCACGCTTGTTTTCTTGACGGCCATGCACGGCCGTCCTTCTCCCACACTCTTTGTTTGTTTTCATTCCTTCTTAAGCCCACCCGCAATCTCCGTGAGATCTGGTGACTGATTTCTATTCATTCCGTTACACTTAAATACCGGTTGTATACTACCTCGTACTTTAGTTCAACTAGGGTTACCCCCTGCACTCTCTGTCTGACCCAGTTGCACCCTCTGACCTCTGAAATATCGGGGCCATGTCAAGTACGAGGCGCAACGCTCACGAACGAGTCATTGAAGCCGAAACCCCGCTTTGCTGCAATTGTCTTCCCCACCCTTAATGGGCTGTTACACCGAAGTAGCGGACCTTAACAGTCACTGACGGCGAGTCACGGTAACGTTTTCCCATGCCCTGACAGATGGATGATGATGATAGTGGGAGGGACGGGCCAAGTGGCACTAGGATGCGTTGACGGAAGTTGTCAGAGACCAGATTCGAGATGAAGGAATGTCTCCGTAACGGAGGGCTTCGGCCTCAGCAACTTCTGCCAAGAGCGCTGTGCCTAGTGACACGTCCGTGCCCTAACTTACTGACTGGCAATTAGAACCTAGGGGGGTAACTCTAGTTGATTTTACTACTGGGGCGTAACCTATGTACAAGTGGGATATATATATGGTTACAGCGGGGACGGTTCCGCAATTGGCAGAGCCGACGGAACGGAGCTAACGGGGTTTAACCATTAGCCGACTGAATATTACCGACGAGTCGGTTCGCGGGGTTAGCGGTAAGGCAGGCGATAACCCAGAAACGGAAAGGAGGGATAGGCCCGAAGGTGGGCTCTGCAGGGCAGGCGAGTGTATTGCCCAGCGGAGGTGGGGGTGCGCTAGCGGACATCGGAGCTGTCCGGAAGCCTTCGGGGCTCCGTACTTAGGGAGGTGTAGGTAATAAATTGAAATGAGGGGGTGGTGACCATCGAGGGGTACCGAGAGGATTGCGGAATACGGGGGCTCCGAGGTTGGTGAGGGAGGAGCGGAGTCAGAACGGAGGGATCGGAGGGACCGGAAGTCGATGGCCGGGGATGGATATGACAGAAGTGACAGATATGTCGGGTCGTGACAAGTTCCCACCTAGGTGTCAGGGACGCGTCCAGGGTGGAGGGGGCCCAGATGTAACACCTGGCAGAGGGACCCTCTTGGGGAGTGAAGCAGGTGTGCATGCTGATGGGCCCGATCTGGGACTGCAGTCCCTGGCCACTTAGACTGAAGTGGAAAACGTGAGAAGAAGGTTACTTCTTCAGTTCCCACTTCAGGTACATTTATGTACATGCGGCTTGGGTCACATGATGGGTGCCATGTCATCCATGGAGAGAGCTGCAGCCATCCAGGTGTCCCTGTGGGGGATCCCGAGGGTGTCCGCTGCAGGCATGCATGCTAGGCATAGCGGGAAG